TAAGACCCAAACCTTACCTTTGACAAACCTAACTAGCATTTGGTTTAAAGCTTTTGAAAATAAAAACCCAGATCAGTAAACAGATCACTAATAATCAAAACAGAACAATAACTCAAGTATCATCCCACAGAATACTCAATATGGCACTTCATGCACTGTGTGAAGCGGAAAGTCTTTTCTGTGACTGTTTACCTTTCCTGTCACCATCTCAATGAGGACGCAGCCCAAACTCCAGATGTCTGCTCCTCGTCCATGACCTTCACCCTTTGCTCTGGTGATGACTTCAGGTGCCATGTATGCTAATAAAGAAGGAATGGTTTAGAGAAAAATATATATTGTCACAAATTCATCACTACAACCATAAAAACACATTTTTGTAGAAATCATAACTTGGGTTAGGGGTGTGACGATACATGAGATATTTTAATACTATTTTTAAGAAATCTTCAGTAATGAAATGTATGATTAGATACATGGTCTTTTATTAGACTAAAAGTCACAAAATGCAAAACAATGCAGGCACATTTTGAAATGTTTACCTAATCATCTTGTAGTGAATGTCACTTCAGTTCTACTTTGTATGACTTATCATACAGTAAGACAATATGTAAGCACTGTAAAAGGTTCTGTCAAACTCGACCGGCTGACTTCTCTCCTGTATGATTTTCTGCTTCTGTTATGTACTGATATCACAAGACAGCTTTCAACTTGCCAATAAATATCATCATATTTTAATTATCACGAGATCTCGTCACACCACTAATGTGGGTGGACATCCACTGGTGAACAGGAAAAATTGAAATATCAGGCCACAATGACCCCGTGTGGTGATGTGCAATCCACACAGGATATAATCAATCGAGCATACCTGCAGTTCCGAGCGTGCTGTTCACCTCCCCGGGCATGGTGTGAGTGTTGTTCCTCAACTTGACTGAACAGCCAAAGTCACCCAGTTTAATCAGACCAGATGATGTCAGAAAGATGTTGGCTCCTGATGTTAAACAAAAAAACTGAATCAACAACGGATGCTGAAACCAACACTGATGAGAAAAAAAAGGAACAAAAAAATAATGAGAGAGCATGTGATGCTGACCCTTGATATCCCGGTGGACAATGCCATGTTCATGGAGGACATTGATGGCGGTAGTGATCTGTTTACTGTAAAGCCTGATGACATGTTCCTGCAGCCCCAGTCTGGACACCTCCTCCAGTGTACCCTCATCACAGTACTCCATGAAAATATACATCTCCTCCTGCAGGTGAGTGCATAAAATGTTATGCTACACTGCTTCAGTAGGTACTGTGTGATGCCTGACCTGACATTAAACTATGCCTCTTACCCGATGAAGCTCAACTCCAAAGTACCGCACCAGGTTTGGGTGTTTAATGCCTTCAAATATTTTCAGCTCATCTGCAGTCTCTTTGATTGTTTTGTGATCATTTGGCTGAAATCGGATCTGATTTGGGGGGAGAAAAAAGGTGTTCCCGCTCTGTTATTGCTACCTGCAGTCTTCAAATTATTTTTGAATACTGTTGAATTGGTCTTGCTGGAGTACATACCTCTTTCATGGCCATTAGTTCTCCAGTGTCAACGTTGATGCAGGTGTACACCTTACCATACTGGCCTTCACCTGTTAGTGACGTAGCCATAACATCACTGACTGCATGTGTGTTAAATAACCCACATTATAACAAAGTCAGTCACAGGGTAGACATACCTATCTTGTTGCCCCTCTGCCACTTGAAGGTCACCTTCCTGAGTCCGACATGCATGACGTTGTCATAGGATTTGGGTGTATGACAAACTTGGCCGATGATGTTACGTTGCTTCATCATGGCATAGCGTTTCTCCTCAAACTTGCGGATGGAGCGTCGGACAGCCTCCATGGGACTTTGCCGTGCTGCTGTGTCTGACAAGGAGACAGAAAAGAATTAGGTAGTACAGTATGTAAGTGAAACAACATTCTGAACTGCTGCAGTCTGTCTACCATGCCACAAGTATTCAACAATCTCACCCTTGGACTGGCTGATAAAGATGCGGAGCTCCCAGCTCCTGCGTGCTGCACTGCTAGGATCTCCCTTAGGATAGGAGGGTTCTGCAGGGAGAAACCACAAAGATGAGTTCACCTAATCGGGTAGATGAACATTCACAATGTGGATCAAACAACAGTGCTCATTTGACGCCTTCACCTTCTCTGTCCTCTGTAGGGCTAGAATGCCGGCTCAGAGATTTGAAATGCAACTCTGCTGCAACCGACGACAGGCGGTCATTCTCGTGGAAACTGGATCCCCTGCAAGAACATGGAAGAACCTGATGCAACACTGGTACAAACAAAAACTAATGATTCAGATGGTACGTTTTAGTCTTCTCCGTTAATGCCCAAACCAAATCAACACAGCATGCAACATCTTCTGCTGAGAGGGAACTTTAATTTACATTCTAGTGCTCTCAATAAAGGACATGTACTAAGTGATCCATCAATGTTAAAATTGTGGAAAATGAAAGAGTCCAGGGTACAGTTTCCTAAAAGAACACCAACTGACAAGCAAAAGGATAGAGATCATTTTCACCTTGAGATGATTTAGAAGAAAATGTTTTGCTGTCACATGCCAGTTCCAGTCCTCGAGGGCCACTGTCCTGCTTCTGACTGGCTGAACACACCTGAGGCAGGTAATCAGCAGCAGGTCAGGCAGGGATAGTTGGAAAACAAGCAGGACAGCGGCCCTCGAGGACTGGAATTGGCCATCCCTGCTTTAAATGAAAATCACACAAATACTGTAAACTATGTAAACAATCCAGCCCAAGTACCTGACAATGCTATGCTGAAAAGTCAAGATATTAAAAATATAAAAAAAAATTACCAAACTTTTCAAGAAAAACAAAAGTCTGACATTCACATTATGCTTTTTGAAACCCACTAACAGTTCAGCATGCATCGGAATCATTCACACTTGAAGGTCACATCTCTGTAGTGCAGGTTCTGATTTCAAAAGCACACGCACGCACACACACACACGCACACACACACACACTCAAATACATCAGTAAACCTAATGGCGGTGACTCACCAGCATCAAAGCAAGACTGATGTTAATAGCGCTAACAAGCAGAACAGCCCATTCTTCCATTGAGGTAGTGCTTTGTTTTCCCATTTTCACATCATACACAACGATCACAGTCTCATCTCTTGAACAGTAAGTAACAAGACCTGTTTAAGGCCTTTTTTTGGTGATATTTTTTGGGGCTTGTAAAAGCTACACTAACACATTTAGGCTGAAAATCATTCTTATTAATCATTAATTAATGAATTTGCAGCCATTATCAGTGCTATGCATATTTTTAGATGCATTTAATTTCAGCTATAGCAAGTCTAGAGTGATTAATCCTGTCTGATGCTATAAATGCAGCAATGTATTAAAAATGTGAAGGGAAATGCTTCATTCATTATTTTAATAAAGTGATTTATGCTGGCCCAAGATCTAAACTACATGTGTAATAAATATAAACCTAAACTAGAGGTAGGTCTGTGATGTACTAATGCCCCACCTGGAAATGCTCAATTTACAGACTGGCTGAGTGACTTTGTGGACATGGTAGTTAATCTGTCTAAATATCAGAATATATAGTGACTGTGTAAAGGCTAAAAAGCAGGAAATCTGCAATTCACCAGTGAAACCTGTAAATGAATATTACAAAGCTAAGGGGGGGCGACAGTGGTGCGGTGGGTAGAGAAGATGTCTCCCAATCGGAAGGTTCGAATCTCTGTGCAGTCTACATGTCGAAGTGTCCTTGGGCAAGACACTGAACCCCCCAAGTTGCCCGTGATGGTGGCACGCATGCACGCAGCGGCCCGTGTCCCTCAGCTCCAAACAAAATTTTATTGTATGTGTCACAATGTTACAATGACAATAAAATAAAGCCACTTCTTCTTTTTTCCAACAATGGAAAATAATTACACATTATATAAAAGATATGTAAGAGTGTTGGTCTAAATACAGTTTCATTCTTTCCATCTTCCGAAATTCACACTTAGTGATAAATTGGCACATCACAGATTTGATTAAGGGGTAAAATACTTTTTGGCTCTGAGTTTGTGCATTTTGTCAAAAAGCATTTAATAAATCTTCTCCAGTACAGAACAAACTGTTAAGGGCTCTGAAAATAACAGCTATCAAATGAAGCATTTCCTCCTTCCATTGCTAGAAGCCTTATACAAAAACAGCTGGTTTTATATCTAGGGCTGTGTTTTGAACAACAGGTTCTACCGGGTGACTTGGGGGCAAGGCTACCTGACATCATTGGGGGTGCTGCCGGGTGCTTTGGTTTGGTTGTGTTCCCCTGGGCCCTGAGGGACAGGGCGAGGGCCGTTGGGGAACAGCTGGTTCCGGAGGTCGCAGGGGAGACTTCGAGAGCTGTGTGGTGAAAAAACAAACTGAGGAGCTCTGCCTTGGGAGGCAAGGTGGCTGCTGTGGGATGTATATAGATGTTTCTGTGTGTGAGAGACTGGGTGGCTTGTTGAGGGACAGATACACACACACACACACACACACACACGATCACTCTAAAGATTAAAAAAACCCTCAAAATAACTACTGACATACTTACAGCATACACTCACACACAAAGGAGCTCACATCACACACAAGCTCAACAACTACAGAGCAAAACATAAAAAAGCAAAGGTTATGAGGCATGACGAAATGTGAAGGAAGAGTATTAACATCAACACAGTAGACACACAGATTATTAGTGTCAAAACTTGAACTGCCATCACCTACCTGAAGCCTTCAGCATTAGGGATGAACAGATTGGGGTTTGGTGGGTCACTATGGCAGCGAGGGACCTTCACAGGACGACTATTCCTGGGAGCTGAGAAGAAATACAACCAGGGGCTAATTCAGTCAACACAGAAGAAGAAACTGACTAGACTAGATGATGCAGTAACTGAACTGAATTTATGGCCATATGAAGTTAGCTCACTATGGTAATAATGTACAATATTACAGCAGGACACCATGACCAAGCATTATTTATGGCACATTTAAACAGTTGCAAAATGCTTCACAGAAAGAAGAGAGGTGAAGGGGGGAGGCACAGAAGACAAGGAGCAATAAATCTATAACCCACAAAGAAAAAACCGATCACATCAATAAAAACGCCAAAGCAAAACAAATGGACTTTTATTTAAAAGACGCACTTTGATTTAGTTTCTCAGATTTTGTGGGACACTGTTCAAAGGTCGAGGAGCAGCTACTACTACTAGGACAGATCAAAGAAGGCGGAAGAAAAATATAAGTCATAAGAACAAATTAATTGAGATTTTGAGGAGATGTAAGAAACTATATTACTCTAAAGTATTAGAGGATAATAAAAATAACATGAGAGGTACTTGGAATATATTAAATAAATTGATTAGAAACAGTTCCAGCAAGAGTAACTACCCTCAATATTTTATGGATAATGATACACCGGTTAATAGATTGGAGGATGTAGTAGATAAGTTTAATAGGTTCTTTGTGAATGTTGGTCCTGGTTTAGCAAGAAGCATTTGTACAGATGATACATCCGTCACTATAAATAATAATACAATCGAAAGGAACATGAGTTCTATGTTTTTGAAACCCATAGATGAAAAGGAAATTATAGAGATAGTGAATAAATGTGGTAACAAAACATCTAGTGATAGTGATGGCATCACTA